TCTGACTAGGGGGTAAAAGGGAAGTGAAGAAGAGGAAGTTCCCACTTGTGTGTAGCCCCCACAACACAGGGGCTGGAAGAAGGCAGACCTTGCTTATGAAGTGCTGTAGCCTCTAGCAGGGCTAGGCCCCAGGCAAGCTTAGAAGAAGGCAGGCCAGGCAAAGAACCAGGAACCAGGCATTCCTGAATGGTATATGCCCTTCCATGCCTCTTGCAGGAGTGGCTGGGGAGAGTGGGCTGCTAAGTCTGCCATCAGCCTCCGCCAGCCTCCAGCCACCTCTTGTCCACACACAAACCAATACCCAACCAACACTGCGGGACTGACCGGTTCAAAGCTGAAGGTTCTGGGTCAACGGAGTTTATTCAGGGTTGTGGCCCCAGCTTGCGCTCCTCGATGGAAACCATACCTTGAGCCTGGGGGTTTCTTGCTGGGGCAGGAGATGCTTGTGCCTGCCACCTCCCAGTCTCACACCTCATAGAGGATCACAGGAAAATACACGTGGATGCCGGGGGGATCCAGCTTCACGATGCCCTGAGGAATCAGATTCTTAGGCACCCGCCTCAGCTTGGCCCGCTTCTGCCCGTTCTTGGTGACGACTGTCTCCTCATAGAACTCGTGAGCCAGACCCCCATCTTCGTCATAGAACATGGAGCCGCGGCGCGTGAATACAAAGGGGGGCACGGCTCGGCCTCGAGCCCACACCAAAGCTTGCCTCAGCGCCTGCTGCCTCTGGGTTGCCGCCCCCCCGCCGCCGAAGCAAAGGGCCACAGGCCCCGAGCTTTGGAGCCGCTGGCGCCCATGTCAGGGCCGCCGCCTGAGAAGACTCCAACATGACTTCTGTACCAGCAAGTTAATTTTTAATAATATTGTGGGCACATACAAGTTGAGGAGGTAGATGACTCACATAATTTTTCCTTTATTTTATTTTATTTTTATTTTTATTTTTTTTGAGTGCCAGGAGTCTGATGAAAAAGTAATGACATGTCCTGCAGGCACAAGATATAAACCAGCAATTCAGAAAGAAATTGGACCAACAAGACCAAGGAGAAATGCCCAGCATTATAAATATTCAAACCTTGAAGCTTAAAACAATAACAACAGCAGCAATACAATGCTATTTTCTCCCATCAAAAAAATGCCATTATTCAAAGAACACGACGCTTTAAACTGAATCCCACCACACACTATATATCCTGTGAGAATAAATTTGAAAACACATGACAAGAGTCCAGGACGTTTGTATCAAACTTTGATTCCACAAGTTTCATGTCCCAGAATCAAGCTTAAGGAAATA